GGAGATCAACATCCGGATACTGCTCCTTTGTAGGTGGGAACCTAATTACATGGCGGAGTAAAAAACAGAATGTGGTAGCTAGAAGTAGTGCAGAAGCAGAGTTCAGAGCTGTTGCCCATGGAATCTGTGAAGTAATGTGGATTAAAAGAATTCTTGAAGAATTAAAGCTTTCTCACCCGACACCTATGAAGGTCTATTGTGACAACAAAGCAGCTATATCTATAGCTCATAATCCAGTTCTACATGATCGCACAAAACATATAGAAGTGGATAAACATTTCATCAAGGAGAAAATCAATACTGGCATAATCTGTATGACTTATCTTCCAACAGGTGAACAATTAGCTGATGTGCTAACGAAGGGACTACACAAGAAGCAATTTGATAAGCTGACTAGCAAGCTGGCTATGGAAGATATCTTCAAACCAGCTTGAGGGGGAGTGCTGGAAATTTGTATTAATGTATAATAATATGATAGTGGTGTTGGTGAAGGATAGTGGCATGTATAGAATATGATAGTGGTGTTGGTGGTAGATAGTGGCATGTATATAATATGATAGTGGTAGATAGTGGTAAGATATAATATGTAAATGGCATATAATGGGTTATAATGATGTTTGTAATATCTCCATATAAGGAGTGTCATTTGGTCTTGTAAGATAAGAAGTTTTGAAATATAACAGAAATATATTCCTTCTTCCTCATATTTTCGGAGTTCTTCTTCCTCATATTTTCTAAGTTCTTGATATCAGATTTTGAGCCCTAATGTACTTCTGTAATAATATAATATGTATATATATTTGTATATATTTTTAAAACAATTGATAGTAATGCAATTATAGTTACTAGCTCCATTTGTGTTCAGTGTGGTTTGGGTTCCGCCAAGGAGTGTTGTGTGTGTACTTCAAGTTGGAGAGGGGTTCAGTTAGAAAGAGGTGTAGAAAGGCATGGATTTTGCCCATTTGTGTTTGAAGTGGATGATTTGGTTGGAGCGGAATCGGCGCATGTTTTAGGGCATGGATGACTCCATGGTTTGTATAATGGCTCGGTTTCTGGTGATTCTGTATAGCTCGGTGACGGGGACTGTGTCTCCAGATTTGTTTGCTTTTGTGGATTTTATAGATGCTTCATTTTTAGGTTTGGGTTTGTTGATAGTCTTGGATGTATTCATTAGCACCGGCTTGATGCTCATTCTTTAATAAAATTACTCTTATTTATCCCAAAAAAAATAGTTACCAGCTCCATCTAATTCAAGCTTATATATTTGAAAGAAATGGCCTTGAAAAATATGTGCAATTATACATAATTAATTAATCTTTGTTTGCAATGAGCTTTTTGTTTGCAGATTGCTACATGATGCTTTGTTACGAGATTTTTCAACTCTATTTGTGGTTTGAGTCTAATGGTTGTCATTGTCCAAGTGGTCACAGTTTTCTTCTGTCCTGTACAATATTACTCAATTTTCTTCTTCATTATTTGTATAGTGTGGTTAGTCATTCAAAGAGTGATCACTTGATATCATCTGCCAAGACTTGAGAACATAAAATTTCCCTTGATTTTTTCCCTTGAAGCTCCATTCAATGGCTGCTGAGACCTCCTCTTCCAAATCTCGTTGTTTTATCTTGTGTACTTGAGTTTTGCCGAAGACACTTGCAAAAAATTTACAGACCACCTCTATACAGCGTTGATTGGTGCAGGTTTCGCACGTTTAGAAATGATGATGATGTTATGGAGAGAGGTGAACTGGAAAAAGCAATCAAGGAATCAAGGAGCTCCATAATTGTATTCTCAAAAGACTATGCTTCTTCGCGAAGGTGCCTTGATGAACTTGTGATGATCCTTGAGTGCAAGAGGAACTTCGAACATGTTATTTTACCAGTTTTCTATGGCATGGATCCATCCCAAATTAGGAAGCAAACTGGCAGTGTTGCAGAAGCATTTGCAGGGCATGAAGCTCAATTTGAGGTGGAAATTGATGAAAGAAATGGGAAACTAGGGATGGAGAAGGTGGAAGCGTGGAGAGAAGCACTCAGAGAAGTTGCGAATCTTGGAGGTTTGGTCTTGCAAAATCAAGCTGACGGGTAAATTTTGTTGGGTAAAACCCATCTTAAGCTCTAACATCACTTGATGGGAATGAATCTCTCAAAAACTCTGATATTGCATGATGAAATATGAATTCATGTGCCAGTGGAAGCATACCAAAATTAAATATGCACACACATAAAAGAAACACAATAGTTATTGTGGTTCTGGCTCAATGCCTACCTCCAAAGAAGAGAGATAATCCAGCATATAGAATAGAGTACAATGATGAGATGAAAGTACCCATAACATGACCTCATCCTGCGGCTCAAGAGTAATTGAGTCTTTAAACGCTAAGCCCCCACAGATGCCCGCTCACTATTGTATTTTACGTATATCTTCCTCACCTCTCACACCACTTGCTCTCTCACACACTACAGAAACCCTACAAATTTCTGTTATAATTTGTTACTAGCAACAATCCAAAATACTTTTACAACAATGAATGGCCTTGAATTGGATTTCTCCTTTGCAACTCATGCTCCGCTCGAGCGGGGATTTGAGTGCATTCAAGCTAGGCCTTGGGAATTTTGGCTCATGGTCATGTTTCTCTACAAGTTTTCTAACACAACCATTCAGGAACGGGAAATTCTTTATAGGTAAATTTTTTTAAATTTAAAACATTTGTCCAAATTCTAATGGAATATGCCTATGTGAGTATGGAGTGATGATTGCATTGGGTTCGTGTTGGTCTTCCTAATTGCAACATTCACATTCAACCTAACATATCAATGCATTACTACCATTTTGTCTATAGAAATTGTCAACATACTAATTTCTCACGACACTTACGTGTTTTTTAATTTTACTTTTCATTTTAGAGCTGGCTAAAACAGCATAAAAATTTATAGTTATTGACGATGCAAGTAAGACTTGCAATGTCAGTCTATTGACTCCTCTCTCTCTCTCTCTCTCTCTTCTCTTCTCTCTCTCTCTCTCTCATGTTTTAATTATGTGATTCTTTCAATTTCAAATCAATCTCATGTATTGAGTTCTAAGGATTATATTAGATGGGCAATGTTAAAAAATCAAGCATCATATTTTAATGCTTATTTTGTTTTATTTTGTCTTTGTTCATGATTTGTAGGCATGAGTCAAAGTTTATCCAAATAATTGTTCGAGAGATTGCTAACAAATTGGATCGTACGGTCTTGAGTGTCACTCCCTACCTAACAAGTATAGAATCTCGTGTAAAAGACATCAATTCGTGGTTACAAGAAGGATCAAACAATGTTGGCATAATGGTGATATGTGGAAGGGTGGAATCGGGAAGACAACCATTGCAAAAACTGTTTATAATCAAAACTTCGATAGATTTGAAGGTAGTAGCTTTCTTGCAAATGTTAGAGAAACTTCAAAACAATCCAATGGTCTGGTTCGTTTACAAAGACAGCTTCTTTCGAATATTTTTAAGCGGAAAATAGAAAAAATACACAATGTTGACGAGGGAATCATTAAGATTAAAGATGCTATAAGCTGTAAAAATGTTCTTGTTGTTTTAGATGATGTGGATGGGTTGGACCAAGTAAATGCAATATTTGGAATGCGACACTGGTTTCATCCTGCAAGTAAAATTATCATTACAACTAGGCATGACCGATTGCTAAAGGTTCATGAAGTTTGTGAGGTTTCCATGGTTAAGGAGTTTAATGATGTTGAAGCGCTTCGTCTTTTCAGTTGGCATGCTTTTGGACAAGACCATCCTATTGAGGCATACATCAAGCAGGCCAAGAGGATGACATACCACTGTGGGGGGCTTCCTTTAGCTCTTGAAGTCTTAGGTGCTTCTCTATTTGGAAAGAGTGTTGATGCATGGGAAAATGCATTAGCAAAGTTGGGATCATTTTTTGATGAGAAAATCCAAAATGTACTTCAAATAAGCTATGATTCTTTAGACGATCACGACAAAAACTTGTTCTTGATATTGCTTGTTTTTGTTGAAAAAGAAAAAGATTTTGCAGTTAAAATACTGGATGAATGTGATTACCACACAACTGTTGGGATTCAATATCTCATTCATAGATGCCTTGTAACAATTGATGGAGTAGACAACAAGCTAATGATGCATCAATTGCTTAGAGACATGGGGAGGGAGATTATTCGCCAAGAATCTCCTAAGGAGCCTGGAAAACGCAGCAGAGTATGGCGTCGTAGGGATGCCTACAACGTATTGAAAAAAACTGTAAGATTTATACTTCTCTTGTCTATTGGTATTTATTTATTTATTTATTTTATTTTTTTTGCAGTTTGTGATTATTTATGGGGTCCTTTTTCTTATTAGGGAACGGAAACAATTGAAGGTTTCATCTTGGACTTGTGTGTGCTACGGAGAATATGCAAGGCAAGAGTGTAAATAATACACAACACCACCATTTTCACGATTTTGTGGACAACAATTTATCAAAGCGCCGGCGTCTTGGCTTATTCTCTTGGCTTCCCACATATCCTGTCTCAACAGAATCAAATGAAGAAGTAGGTTTGAACACTGATGCGTTTTTTTGATGCGCAAACTACGAATACTCCAGCTTTATAGTGTACAACTCATTGGTCGCTATGAAAAATTTCCTAAGAAGTTAAGATGGCTGCGTTGGCATGGATTCCCTTTAAAATTTATACCTAATGATTTTCCTCTAGAGAACCTGGTTGTTCTTGATATGCGCAATAGCAGCTTGGCAACACTTTGGAAAGGAACCAAGGTGTGATTCAATTTTTTTGTTGAACATACCTTCTTTTAGGTTAAATTTTTGATCAATGTGCCCATTGATGGAAGACTAATTTCCTACCTTATGACAGATGCTCAGATTGTTGAAGATTCTCAATCTTAGTCATTCCCATGGCCTTGTCGATTCCCCAGATTTCTCGCTGCCCCTAATCTTGGAAAACTGAAACTTAAAGATTGCATAAATTTGGTTGGTGTTCATGAATCCATTGGGAAATTAGAGAGACTTGTTTTGCTGAATCTGAAGAGTTGCAGAAATCTTACAAAGCTTCCAGGGGAAATTGTTCTGCTCAAATCCCTTGAAGAACTTATTCTCTCCGACTGCTCAAGTCTTGACAAGTTGCCTCCTGACCTGGTCAAGATGGAATCTTTGAAAGTGCTTCATGCAGATGGAATAAATCAATTGTCCTCAAATAGTGGAGCAGGTAAACCATGGCATGAACATATTTGGTCTTGGGTATCAAAACTAAGCAGCCGCCCTGAATCCATTTGTTTCTCATTGTATTCCTTACCACGCTCATTAGTAAGCTTAAATCTTTCAAATTGCAATATATCTGGTGATGGTATTCCAGGGGATATCAGTACCCTGTCCTCATTGCAAACCTTGTGTCTAGGCTTTAATCCAATCTGTAGCCTTCCAGGAAGCCTCAAAGGTCTTACTAGGCTAACTCATCTTGACTTAATTTACTGCATTAGGCTCCAATCACTTCCAGAGCTTCCAATGAGTTTAGCAGGATTAAATTTAACTGGATGCAGGTCTTTGGAAACGGTAGCAAATCTGCCAAACTGTTTAACCTACTAATGTTGGACAATGTCATTGCCAGAACTAGTTGAAATTCAGGGATTATTGAAGTTAGAACCAATGGAAACATTGATTCGGAAATGATTAACAATTTGAACTTGAGTGGGATTTCATGGGAATGCTGAGTTTGAACTATACAGTAACCTAACTGGTGCAATTGTTAAAGCTCCCACACTCCAGGTGCTCTCTCTTCCCTCCCTCTCTCAATTGCTATCTATATTTAATTAATTATTAAAATTGTAATTTCCATGGCATAGGGACTATATGAATGTGGTATATACAGCATATTTCTTCTCGGAGTGAGATTCCTAGTGGTTGACATGAAGAGTAGAGGTTTCATCAATGTCTTTTATAGTTCCTTCACTTCCACATCTCAAATTCTGCGGCCTGAATATATGCATTGTATATGCCATGGATTTTAGACTGGCGGAATGGTCTCATGAATATATTATAGTCAGTATAAAACTAAGGGTATGAAATGGGCATATAGGCCAACATTTAGAGGCATTCCGTATGAACACAAAGATGTGATATGGTTAAGTGATTGGAAGATAGCGGATCTGTTAATGGAGCTGGGGATGAAATGAAACATCTCTGTGAATATGGCGAATTTTTTTGGGTAAAAGAATTTGGAATTCGAATTCTGTATGATGAAAGAAGGGAAAGGTACCCAGAACAACACTAGCTATTCTTTTCATCATAATGTCATTGATTTGTCAGCATATCAAATGAGAGAAGGCGAGTACTTCTTATTCAATGACGATGATGTTAGTAGGGCGCTACTCTACTCAAGGATGTGCGAGTAGAAATGGGAATGCCTAGAAAATACAGGTGAGACTTAAAAGAGTACCTTCACCATTTCATTTGATAACAACGAAGCAGTATTAGCAGAAAAAACAAAATTAAAATTAAAATGCTTGTTTCTCTCCTTTATCACAAATGCTGAAAGAAATGGACTTCTCTGTATTCTGTTTTCCTTTTCCCCTTTTTTGCTGGGTAATATTCAAATTTAAAATTTGCTAATTCAAACTCTTTCTTCCTTATTGATTGATTTTGGAAAGTTATGAACTGTTTTACAATTTTTTATTTTTATTTTTTTGTAGAAACTTTATTATTTTTATTGGCTATATAAAAACATATATTTAATTTGGGGCCTTCTACACTTGCTTTATAATAGAGCCAGACCTGCTTTGCTTTTCTAAATGACATTTTGGCTTCTGTTATAGTTTGATTTTATCTCTTTCTTCCTCGTCTCACAGTAGGAGATCTTCTCTCTTTTCCATGTGTTTCTTTTTCTTCTATTGTATAACTGGCCTTTTTCTTTTTCCCTCAGATTCCCACCTATCCATGTTTCTGTACCTCTCATATTAATCTACACAATATTTTATAAACATTCAAAAAACAGTAAAATTGCAATTTTGATTGTTTATGTTGATGACATCATTTTAACTGGTAATGATGAAGCAGAGTTAGCAGCCCTCAAAGAGAAACTCGCAAAAGAATTTCACATTAAGGATCTGGGAGCCCTCAAGTATTTGCTTTAATAGTACTAGTTCAATCTCTGTTCGAGAAAAAATAATGCTATGGCACTATAGGCTAGGATATCCTAGTTTTCTTTATCTGAAACATTTATTTCCAGAATTATTTAAAGGGATTGATTGTTTTTCTTTTCATTGTGAAAGTTGCATTTTTGCAAAATTTCATCGCTCTACTTATTTGCCAAAACCTTACCAGGCTTCCAAACCTTTTTATTTGATTCATAGTGATGTTTGGGGCCCTTCTAAAATCACTACTCTGGACTCTCCTTGCTGGAAATTTGTGTTAATGTATATAATAAGATAGTGGCGTGTATATAATATGATAGTGGTAGATAGTGGTAATATATAATATGTTAGTGGCATATAATGGGTTATAATGATGTTTGTAATATCTCCTATATAAGGAGTGTCATTTGGTCTTGTAAGATAAGAAGTTTTGAATATAACAGAAATATATTCCTTCTTCCTCATATTTTCGGAGTTCTTCTTCCTCATATTTTCTAAGTTCTTGATATCAGATTTTGAGCCCTAATGTACTTCTGTAATATATATATATGTATATATATTTGTATATATTTTTAAAACAATTGATAGTAATGCAATTATAGTTACTAGCTCCATTTGTGTTCAGTGTGGTTTGGGTTCCGCCAAGGAGTGTTGTGTGTGTACTTCACAGTTGGAGAGGGGGTTCAGTTAGAAAGAAGTGTAGAAAGGCATGGATTTTGCCACTTTTGTGTTTGAAGTGGATGATTTGGTTGGAGCGGAATCGGCGCATGTTTTAGGGCATGGATGACTCCATGGTTTGTATAATGGCTCGGTTTCTGGTGATTCTGTATAGCTCGGTGACGGGGACTGTGTCTCCAGATTTGTTTGCTTTTGTGGATTTTATAGATGCCTTCATTTTTTAGGTTTGGGTTTGTTGATAGTCTTGGATGTATTCATTAGCACCGGCTTGATGCTCATTCTTTAATAAAATTACTCTTATTTATCCCAAAAAAAATAGTTACCAGCTCCATCTAATTCAAGCTTATATATTCTGAAAGAAATGGCCTTGAAAAATATGTGCAATTATACATAATTAATTAATCTTTGTTTGCAATGAGCTTTTTGTTTGCAGATTGCTACATGATGCTTTGTTACGAGATTTTTCAACTCTATTTTTGTGGTTTGAAGTCTAATGGTTGTCATTGTCCAAGTGGTCACAGTTTTCTTCTGTCCTGTACAATATTACTCAATTTTCTTCTTCATTATTTGTATAGTGTGGTTAGTCATTCAAGAAGTGATCACTTGATATCATCTGCCAAGACTTGAGAACATAAAATTTCCCCTTGATTTTTTCCCTTGAAGCTCCATTCAATGGCTGCTGAGACCTCCTCTTCCAAATCTCGTTGTTCTTATCTTGTGTACTTGAGTTTTGCCGAAGACACTTGCAAAAAATTTACAGACCACCTCTATACAGCGTTGATTGGTGCAGGTTTTCGCACGTTTAGAAATGATGATGATGTTATGGAGAGAGGTGAACTGGAAAAAGCAATCAAGGAATCAAGGAGCTCCATAATTGTATTCTCAAAAGACTATGCTTCTTCGCGAAGGTGCCTTGATGAACTTGTGATGATCCTTGAGTGCAAGAGGAACTTCGAACATGTTATTTTACCAGTTTTCTATGGCATGGATCCATCCCAAATTAGGAAGCAAACTGGCAGTGTTGCAGAAGCATTTGCAGGGCATGAAGCTCAATTTGAGGTGGAAATTGATGAAAGAAATGGGAAACTAGGGATGGAGAAGGTGGAAGCGTGGAGAGAAGCACTCAGAGAAGTTGCAGATCTTGGAGGTTTGGTCTTGCAAAATCAAGCTGACGGGTAAATTTTGTTGGGTAAAATCCCATCTTAAGCTCTAACATCACTTGATGGGAATGAATCTCTCAAAAACTCTGATATTGCATGATGAAATATGAATTCATGTGCCAGTGGAAGCATACCAAAATTAAATATGCACACACATAAAAGAAACACAATAGTTATTGTGGTTCTGGCTCAATGCCTACCTCCAAAGAAGAGAGATAATCCAGCATATAGAATAGAGTACAATGATGAGATGAAAGTACCCATAACATGACCTCATCCTGCGGCTCAAGAGTAATTGAGTCTTTAAACGCTAAGCCCCCACAGATGCCCGCTCACTATTGTATTTTACGTATCATCTTCCTCACCTCTCACACCACTTGCTCTCTCACACACTACAGAAACCCTACAAATTTCTGTTATAATTTGTTACTAGCAACAATCCAAAATACTTTTACAACAATGAATGAGGCCTTGAATTGGATTTCTCCTTTGCAACTCATGCTCCGCTCGAGCGGGGATTTGAGTGCATTCAAGCTAGGCCTTGGGAATTTTGGCTCATGGTCATGTTTCTCACAAGTTTTCTAACACAACCATTCAGGAACGGGAAATTCTTTATAGGTAAATTTTTTTAAATTTAAAACATTTGTCCAAATTCTAATGGAATATGCCTATGTGAGTATGGAGTGATGATTGCATTGGGTTCGTGTTGGTCTTCCTAATTGCAACATTCACATTCAACCTAACATATCAATGCATTACTACCATTTTGTCTATAGAAATTGTCAACATACTAATTTCTCACGACACTTACGTGTTTTTTAATTTTACTTTTCATTTTAGAGCTGGCTAAAACAGCATAAAATTTATAGTTATTGACGATGCAAGTAAGACTTGCAATGTCAGTCTATTGACTCTCTCTCTCTCTCTCTCTCTCTCATGTTCTAATTATGTGATTCTTTCAATTTCAAATCAATCTCATGTATTGAGTTCTAAGGATTATATTAGATGGGCAATGTTAAAAAATCAAGCATCATATTTTAATGCTTATTTTGTTTTATTTTGTCTTTTGTTCATGATTTGTAGGCATGAGTCAAAGTTTATCCAAATAATTGTTCGAGAGATTGCTAACAAATTGGATCGTACGGTCTTGAGTGTCACTCCCTACCTAACAAGTATAGAATCTCGTGTAAAAGACATCAATTCGTGGTTACAAGAAGGATCAAACAATGTTGGCATAATGGTGATATGTGGAATGGGTGGAATCGGGAAGACAACCATTGCAAAAACTGTTTATAATCAAAACTTCGATAGATTTGAAGGTAGTAGCTTTCTTGCAAATGTTAGAGAAACTTCAAAACAATCCAATGGTCTGGTTCGTTTACAAAGACAGCTTCTTTCAGATATTTTTAAGCGGAAAATAGAAAAAATACACAATGTTGACGAGGGAATCATTAAGATTAAAGATGCTATAAGCTGTAAAAATGTTCTTGTTGTTTTAGATGATGTGGATGGGTTGGACCAAGTAAATGCAATATTTGGAATGCGACACTGGTTTCATCCTGCAAGTAAAATTATCATTACAACTAGGCATGACCGATTGCTAAAGGTTCATGAAGTTTGTGAGGTTTCCATGGTTAAGGAGTTTAATGATGTTGAAGCGCTTCGTCTTTTCAGTTGGCATGCTTTTGGACAAGACCATCCTATTGAGGCATACATCAAGCAGGCCAAGAGGATGACATACCACTGTGGGGGGCTTCCTTTAGCTCTTGAAGTCTTAGGTGCTTCTCTATTTGGAAAGAGGTGTTGATGTATGGGAAAATGCATTAGCAAAGTTGCGATCATTTTTTGATGAGAAAATCCAAAATGTACTTCAAATAAGCTATGATTCTTTAGACGATCACGACAAAAACTTGTTCCTTGATATTGCTTGTTTTTTTGTTGAAAAAGAAAAAGATTTTGCAGTTAAAATACTGGATGAATGTGATTACCACACAACTGTTGGGATTCAATATCTCATTCATAGATGCCTTGTAACAATTGATGGAGTAGACAACAAGCTAATGATGCATCAATTGCTTAGAGACATGGGGAGGGAGATTATTCGCCAAGAATCTCCTAAGGAGCCTGGAAAACGCAGCAGAGTATGGCGTCGTAGGGATGCCTACAACGTATTGAAAGAAAAAACTGTAAGATTTATACTTCTCTTGTCTATTGGTATTTATTTATTTATTTATTTTATTTTTTTTGCAGTTTGTGATTATTTATGGGGTCCTTTTTCTTATTAGGGAACGGAAACAATTGAAGGTTTCATCTTGGACTTGTGTGCTACGGGAAGATATGCAAGGCAAGAGTGTAAATAATACACAACACCACCATTTTCACGATTTTGTGGACAACAATTTATCAAAGCGCCGGCGTCTTGGCTTATTCTCTTGGCTTCCCACATATCCTGTCTCAACAGAATCAAATGAAGAAGTAGGTTTGAACACTGATGCGTTTTTTTCGATGCGCAAACTACGAATACTCCAGCTTTATAGTGTACAACTCATTGGTCGCTATGAAAAATTTCCTAAGAAGTTAAGATGGCTGCGTTGGCATGGATTCCCTTTAAAATTTATACCTAATGATTTTCCTCTAGAGAACCTGGTTGTTCTTGATATGCGCAATAGCAGCTTGGCACAACTTTGGAAAGGAACCAAGGTGTGATTCAATTTTTTTGTTGACATACCTTCTTTTAGGTTAAATTTTTTGATCAATGTGCCCATTGATGGAGACTAATTTCCTACCTTATGACAGATGCTCAGATTGTTGAAGATTCTCAATCTTAGTCATTCCCATGGCCTTGTCGATTCCCCAGATTTCTCGCTGCTCCCTAATCTTGAGAAACTGAAACTTAAAGATTGCATAAATTTGGTTGGTGTTCATGAATCCATTGGGAAATTAGAGAGACTTGTTTTGCTGAATCTGAGAGGTTGCAGAAATCTTACAAAGCTTCCAGGGGAAATTGTTCTGCTCAAATCCCTTGAAGAACTTATTCTCTCCGACTGCTCAAGTCTTGACAAGTTGCCTCCTGACCTGGTCAAGATGGAATCTTTGAAAGTGCTTCATGCAGATGGAATAAATCAATTGTCCTCAAATAGTGGAGCAGGTAAACCATGGCATGAACATATTTGGTCTTGGGTATCAAAACTAAGCAGCCGCCCTGAATCCATTTGTTTCTCATTGTATTCCTTACCACGCTCATTAGTAAGCTTAAATCTTTCAAATTGCAATATATCTGGTGATGGTATTCCAGGGGATATCAGTACCCTGTCCTCATTGCAAACCTTGCGTCTAGGCTTTAATCCAATCTGTAGCCTTCCAGGAAGCCTCAAAGGTCTTACTAGGCTAACTCATCTTGACTTAATTTACTGCATTAGGCTCCAATCACTTCCAGAGCTTCCAATGAGTTTAGCAGGATTAAATTTAACTGGATGCAGGTCTTTGGAAACGGTAGCAAATCTGCCAAACCTGTTTAACCTACTAATGTTGGACATATGTCATTGCCAGAAACTAGTTGAAATTCAGGGATTATTGAAGTTAGAACCAATTGGAAACATTGATTCGGAAATGATTAACAATTTGAACTTTGAGTGGGATTTCATGGGAATGGCTGAGTTTGAACTATACAGTAACCTAACTGGTGCAATTGTTAAAGCTCCCACACTCCAGGTGCTCTCTCTTTTCTTTCCCTCCCTCTCTCAATTGCTATCTATATTTAATTAATTATTAAAATTGTAATTTCCATGGCATAGGGACTATATGAATGTGGTATATACAGCATATTTCTTCTCGGGAGTGAGATTCCTAGTTGGTTTGACATGAAGAGTAGAGGTTCATCAATGTCTTTTATAGTTCCTTCACTTCCACATCTCAAATTCTGCGGCCTGAATATATGCATTGTATATGCCATGGATTTTAGACTGGCGGAATGGTCTCATGAATATATTATAGTCAGTAATAAAACTAAGGGTATGAAATGGGCATATAGGCCAACATTTAGAGGCATTCCGTATGAACACAAAGATGTGATATGGTTAAGTGATTGGAAGATAGCGGATCTGTTAATGGAAGCTGGGGATGAAATGAACATCTCTGTGAATATGGCAGAATTTTTTTGGGTAAAAGAATTTGGAATTCGAATTCTGTATGATGAAGAAGGGAAAGGTACCCAGAACAACACTAGCTATTCTTTTCATCATAATGTCATTGATTTGTCAGCATATCAAATGAGAGAAGGCGAGTACTTCTTATGCAATGACGATGATGTTAGTAGGGCGCTACTCTACTCAAGGATGTGCGAGTAGAAATGGGAATGCCTAGAAAATACAGGTGAGACTTAAAAGAGTACCTTCACCATTTCATTTGATAAACAAGAAGCAGTATTAGCAGAAAAAACAAATTAAAATTAAAATGCTTGTTTCTCTCCTTTTATCACCAAATGCTGAAAGAAATGGACTTCTCTGTATTCTGTTTTCCTTTTCCCCTTTTATTGCTGGGTAATATTCAAATTAAAATTTGCTAATTCAAACTCTTCTTCCTTTATTGATTTGATTTTGGAAAGTTATGAACTGTTTTACAATGGCAGATTGGTTTGAGAGTCCTCTGTATTTCTTTGAGGTAATACTGCTTTTGCCAATAATATTTGCAGTGCTGAGTTTTTGAGGCTTGGGCTTTATGATAAGGCAGTGAGGAAAAAAGATCTTAGGGACATTGTTTGTGACGACCCCGATGTACATATTATTTTTATATATTATTTCCTTGAGCATATTTGCATGACTATGTGCTTAATTGATGCTTATCTGTTTGTTTATGAAATATCTGTTAGAGTGCGGACTTAGAATTCAAAATTGAAAGCCCAAAATGGATTCAGAAACCAGAATTGACTAGTTCAATAGACTGATTGAAATATTTAGAACCATATGGCACATTTAATTAAAATTTGATTCAGATCAAAATAATTAGAATAAATTGATTAAGATTAGTTAGGCTTAAGCCTACTTAATAAAGCCTAATCTCACTTAATTAGCCTAACTTAATCAAATCTATAAATCTGGGATATAGGCTTATTGAGTTCATATTCTTCAAGTGGCTGAAATTAGAGAGGGAGTTGAGAGCTCAACACTTCTAGAGAGAGAATGGTGAAATTGCAGAGAATTTGAAGGGGATTTGAAGAACCTTAGCTAATTCAACTACAATTCAAGCTCTAGGTATGGAATTCACCCACAATTCTTGTAAATAATCCATGTAGAAATTGAATTCAATAAGTTGTAGGACCATTTGCATGAATTTGTAAAGAACAAAATAGGATCACCATGAATTTAGTGATGGTGAGTTAGTTGTGAGCATGCATGCATAATTCCATTACATTTGAGCATTTTGAGCTTGAATTCTAGTGTTCTTGTTAATTTAAGAGTTGAATTTTTACATGCATTAAAGAATTTCAAGTTTTCAAGAGTTAGTTTTCAAAAGTTTAATTTTATGTTTGAAGGTTTTGAAAAAGATTTAACACAATTCCATACATGCATGAATAATTTGGTTTCAAATTTGACAATTCATAGTGTTTTTAAGCACATAATTTCAAATTAAGTTTATATGCATGTTTTTTATGAGTTTTCATTTGGTACAATCATGCAAGCTTTGGACATGTAGGGTGCATTTTTGAACTTCAACTTTTGTTATGGAAATTTCAGAATTCGTTCACTTCGCTCGAGCAGTGAAGTTGTCGTCATTACTCGAGCGCACAGTTCTCAGTATTTTTGCAGAATTTTGCAGTGGGCTCGAGTGACCAAATGTGCGCTAGAGCGAACTCGACTTTGCATTGAACTTGACTCGAGCGAACATCAAGCCTACTTTGACACCATCTAGTACTTTTGCAAACAAGCCACACCGCTCGAGCGATCAAAGGTGCGCTCGAGCGAACTGCCTTTTTTTTCAGCATTTTTTAAACATTCATAAATTCCTATTTGCATCCTTATGCCCTTTTTGGCATTCTTTAGCATCATTTAGACATCCTTAGCCAATGAATAAGCTAGAAACTCACGTTAGAGAATTGAATTATGATATGCTATCTATTGGGAACGTGTGCTTCAATGTGTATCTTTGTTATGTGCTTTGTGTAGGTGGTCAACTGAGATCCAACACCTGTGCCAACCCATTGTAAGTAGTATCTTTGTAAAGATATGTTGAACTGTATTTTCAATTTACTACAAGAATGTTATTTAAAATGTTATTTTGATAAGAATGAATGATTGTCTCTTTTGAAAAGTAATTGTGGCATCCTTAGTATAGCTCACGACTGGGGGTAACAATACCATTTCCCTTTACTATAAGGTCGTCGTCCGGAGGAAACAATACCGCGGCCCTTCGTTAGTAAGGCCCTCACTCGGAGGAAATAATACCGTGACCCTTTGTTATATGTGCACAGAGATCTCTGATGTTGACCTAAGTGGTCCTTTTGCTTGACCTATATAGTCCCTTTGTTAGACTCATGTGGTCCCTTTGTTATGCCTTCGGGCCCTTTGCTTTACACTATTGGATGTACCACATATGAATATGATTTGTGAACTTTGATACGACAAGTACTCATCTATGCTTTACTTCAGAACTCATATGATATGATTTTGTATTACGATAGACATCATTCATTTAATCTCTTTATATTGGTATTATTTACTGGGCTTTAGCTTACCTCCTCCCCTATATATATAGGTGAGCAAATGGAGCATCAAGTTTAGAGCAGCCTCGGGAGTCCATCCTTCTGCAAAGCTACTTTGAAGTGCCTCCTCGTGATGAAGCGTGCTTGGACTCGAGGAGCCAAGCTGGGTCAACCTTTTTGTTTAGTTTTCTTTTGTTATTTGGAAACTTGTTATGTATAGATCTTTTCTAAGGGTGAGCAGCGGATATATCGATCTGTCTAAACCAACCGAATTGATCTGTCGCATTTTGGACGGATCTGTAATGGCGAGCGGAGGGTTGTAGATTGATTTTTTTCAATCTACCTAGTTTTGGATGGATGGCGGATTTGAGGTTCATTTGGCCGCAACCGAACCCCCAAACTGCGAGCATTCCTAATAATTTGTACGACTGTGTTTTTAATTTATTTAGATATTCTGCTTTTGTTTTCAATTGAAAAAGAATTTAAATATTCTGTTGAATATATATTATTGAAAAAGAGTTTTCAACTTGAATATAGTTTTTGAATTGAAAAAGATAAATGTATTATTTATCTATATTTTTTAGTTTTTAAATCTAACTCTAAAAATAATAAATAAAAAAGATGATATATGCTAGTTAGTTTTTGTTTTAAAAAACAGATATAGATGTAATAATATAGAGGCATACAATCTTTACTACTGTTTTGTTCATGGTTTTGGTGGTTTGAATTGTTTTTATATTTTAAAAATCACATATTGTAATACTTTATGTAGATGAGACATGCTGTAATTGTAATATATGGATGAGATATACAGTGATTGTAATATTTTAAAGTTTCAAACTTTCTTTATTTGGATGAGGCATGCAATGATTGTAATACTTTTTTAAGTCATTGACTGTAATATTTTATTTTATTTTATTATTATTTTTTTTTTGAAGAAATGCACAAGTTGAATTATGTTGAAAATTTATAAAATTTTAAATTGCCAGACCGATTCGCATCCATCTATCAATCTGCCAATCTGGTCAATCCATATCCGTCGGAATGGCGGACGGATGCAGATTGATTTTTTCCAATTCGTTAATCTGACAGATGGATGGCTGATTAGAGATTCCGTGACCACAATCGACTCGTGCCCACACCTAATCTTTTGTATATGTATCTTAGATATTATGATGTCTCTCTGTGTTTATATCTATGTAAGAAGGCTAAAGTTTTAATTATTAGTGAATTTTGCATGTATGCACCGCTCAATGGACATAGTTATGCTTTAATATTGCTTCCGCAATGCCTCGTTTACTATTATTAATTATTTGTTTTGTCCTTGAGGCCAAGTAATTTGGCATTATTGATCGTTCACGGCCTAAACCTCTAGGGGGTGAGTTTAAGTAGTGATAGACATCATGCTGAAAGGCAATATCCAAGCTATTTAGAATATATTTCATTCACTTTTCTCTTTACAAAAAAAAAATTGAAAAATTTGATCAGATTGCATATTCCTTATTAACACAAAGCTTTGAGTTAAGTAGAAAAAATGTACACAAAATGGTGGGACTGAATCAGGGCTGACTCTGCTATGAGAGATGCTTGACTTATTGGAAAAGCTACAAACTGAGAAAAAAATGTCCAAAAAGTAAAGTATACCGTGTAAATTCAAATTTTATGTAATGTGGATCACATTTAAAATGAATCCATTCTATGCTTCTGTACATTTTTTCTAAATAGCTAACATTAGTGTTGGCTTCTTGGCGAAGTCTTAGTAAGTTCACTTTCCAAAAAATAAAGTAAATAAAAGATGTCTTATTTTCAGGTAATCGGCAATTAAAAAAAAGAGAAAGTCTACGCACCCAAAACAGTAATAAAAAAATTTACCAAAGTTTCAAATCTGAGGTGTATATTTAAACTTCTTGTTGTGGGGCTACACCATAAATTAATCTTGGCCTTTGATTACAAATTTTGAATAATATTTTTTTCCCCTAAGTTTGTAGAACTGTTGGAAAAGAAAAACCCTAGGTTGGGGAATGCAATATAATTCAAGTTCCACTTAACAAAGGGCAATCTATAGTATACACTAGAAAATTGATAAAAATGTTACTAATGCAGAAATAAATTACAAAAATGAATCACATATTGTAGGCCCCCACATTATGAAACCTACAAATATGTGAGTTGTGTCTCACTTTGTAATTCATTTATGTGTTAGTGTACTCCTTGAAAATTAATTTACGGTCTCCATAACTTTCCAAAGTCAACAACTATAATATATATATATATATATATTTTTGAGTAATCAGAAGCACAAACAATATAAGGTCCCTCTCAATAATTATTTAAGTGAAAAAGAAATAAAAGATTAATTACAAGTGAAACAGCAACTTATCCCTATAGTCACACTTGTGTTTGGTACAACAAAATAAGGTTGGTTTGTTGTCCAGATTTATTGTTACATTACAGTACATTCACTTAGGTCAAGCCTCATGGAAAAACCATGTCATGGAAGTATTTCCCTCACCACTGGTTGATTTTTTATACTGGATTTCATTGACTTCTACTATTTTTCTCCAATTATTTAACTTGAAATCTCCTAGAAATATCTGTTTTTTTTAATCAAATTATAAACATTGACATCTTCCCATGTTTTTAAATATCAGCCTATATCAATTATTTTGCTTCTTGGTATACTAGTATAATTGATCCACGAATCGGTTTACAGACAATATTGTCGATTCGGTTGCTATAAATTTCTTTTTTGTGAATAGTGTTTTTCAAAATTTTATGATACTTTCTTATTACTTCTGCACCGTTACATGGTGATATCAATTTGTCTCCCGATTCCGTTATTTAAAACTTTGCACGTTCCACAATGGAACCTTTGCAGATCATATACATACCTCAGTCCTCAGTGATCTCTTAGACCCTTGTTAAATGGCTGCTGTGACATCCCAAGAAGCCTTCTCTTCCACTTCTTCATTTGCTTACCACATTTTCTTGAGCTGCAGAGGCAAAGACACAAGGAAGACTTTCACTGACCACCTCTACACAGCTTTGGTGCATGCGGGTTTTCGCACATTCAGAGACGATGACGAGATCGCAAGAGGCGAAAAGATTAATTCAGAACTGCAGAAGGCAATCATGCAGTCAAAGATTTCAATAGTTGTCTTCTCCAAAAACTACGTGTCTTCCAGATGGTGCCTTGACGAACTTGTGACAATCTTTGAACGTAAAAGGACTTCTAATCATGGAGTTTTACCTGTCTTCTATGACGTGGATCCATCCCAGGTAAGGAAACAAACGGAAAGTTTTGCTGAAGCATTTGAAAGGCATGAACAGAGGTTGAAGACGAAATGCGGTGACGGAAACAAGGACTGGGTGGAGAAGGTGAGAAGATGGAGGCAAGCACTCAGAGAAGCTGCAGACTTGGGAGGGATGGTTTTGGGAAATCAAGCTGATGGGTATGTAACTTCCACTCCTCCATGTTCTTGATTCTCCGAATTGGATCTTAGATTTGAGCATGAAAATTCTAAAATTTTTAAATGGCTTCAACTCAATTAAGATTCAAATCCAATCAAGGTTGGATGAACGCACGTGGCGAAAAGATTAATTCAGAACTGCAGAAGGCAATCATGCAGTCAAAGATTTCAATAGTTGTCTTCTCCAAAAACTACGTGTCTTCCAGATGGTGCCTTGACGAACTTGTGACAATCTTTGAACGTAAAAGGACTTCTAATCATGGAGTTTTACTTGTCTTCTATGACGTGGACCCATACCAGGTAAGGAAACAAACGGGAAGTTTTGCTGAAGCATTTGAAAGGCATGAACAGAGGTTGAAGACGAAAGGCGGTGAAGGAAACAAGGACTGGGTGGAGAAGGTGAGAAGATGGAGGCAAGCAGTCAGAGAAGCTGCAGACTTGGGGAGGGATGGTTTTGGGAAATCAAGCTGATGGGTATGTAACTTCCACTCCTCCATGTTCTTGATTCTCCAAATTGGGTCTTAGATTTGAGCATGGAAATTCTAAAATTTTTAAATGGCTTGAACTCAATTAAGATTCAAATCCAATCAAGGTTGGATGAAAGATTTTAACTTCGAGGGGCGAAGTCAAACCTGTATAAAAAATTGGAGGGATATCCGTCTCCAACTGTTCTCTTTTTTTTATTGGCGAAAATCAATTGTTAGTTGTTAGATTAGCTCCTATGGGAGTTGAACCCCCAATCTCTCCCTTGCAAGAACCTAAGTGTACCTCCATACCACTAGGTCATGGGCCCTCTAACTGTCCTTTTTGGTCCTTTACTGAATCGAGCTAAAAAAAATGTACATAAAGATTGAAAAAAATCCCAAACATAACAGACTTACCATGTTTCAATTTAGAATTATGGAGAATGGAGCTTTTGAAATTAATTGCAAGCCAATTTTTTGCATTTTTTGCATTAAGAGATGGAATCCAAATTAGCCACACCATTTTGCATCAAACATCTATATAATTTTATATGATTTTCTTATATTCAAATTGAAACTTGGGTTAGTGCAGAAGTAATTGATTCTGAATGCTAGTCTAAGACAAATCCGTGTAAATTCCAACCTGTTATATAGTCTTCAAGGACATTACATTCCATCATGCATTCTGAAAGTGCTTTTGGGAAGTAATTTATTTGTGTGAGAATTTGTAACTTATTTCAAGTCATGACTAGTGACATTTATTTTTGCTGCATTTACCATTTTGAATACAACTTTTAGGCATGAGTCAAAATTCATCCACAAAATTGTGTCCGTGGTTGAAGATAAGCTACACCTTACAGCCCTAGGTGTTGCACCCTTCTTAATTGGAATTTATCCTCGAGTGAAAAATATCAACATGTGGTTAAGAGATGGCTCTACCTATGCTCACACGGTCGCAATTTCTGGGTGGGCGGCATAGGAAAGACGACCATTGCCAAATTTGTCTACAATTTAAACTTTAAAAGATTTGAAGGTAGCAGTTTTCTGGCAAATATCAGAGAAGTTTCTGAACAACCCAATGGCCTAGTTCATTTACAAAGACAACTTCTTTATGATATTCTAAATGGTAGAAAGGAAAAAATATTCAATGTTGATGAAGGAATTGTTAAGATCAAAGATGCCATAGCCTGTAAAAAAGTTCTTCTTGTTCTTGATGATGTGGATCGAGTGGATCAATTAGATGCAATACTTGGAATGCGAGACTGGTTTTGTTCAGGAAGCAAAATCATCATTACAACTAGGAACGAGGATTTGTTGAAGACACATGAAGTATATAAGGTGCATAAAATTGAAAAACTAGATGCCGATCAATCACTTGAGCTCTTTAGTTGGCATGCTTTTGGACAAGACCACCCCTTTGAAGGTTTCATGGAGCATTCAAGAAGGGTAGTACATCATTGTGGGGGGCTTCCATTAGCTCTTCAAGTTTTGGGTTCTTCTCTTTCTGGGAAAAGTATCCATGTATGGGAAAGTGCATTAGAGAAGGTGGAAGTAATTCCTGATGGTCAAATCCTTAGAAAACTTAAAATAAGCTTTGACTCTTTGCAAGATGACCATGACCAGGATTTGTTCCTCCATATTGCTTGTTTCTTTGTCGGGAAAGACAAAGATTGCACGGTTAAAATACTTGATGGATGTGATTTCTACACAACGGTTGGGATTCAAAATCTCATTGATAGATGTCTCTTAACAATTGATGACTATAACAAGATAAATATGCATCAATTGCTCCGAGACATGGGAAGAGAAATTGTTCGCCAAGAGTCACCTAAGGAGCCTGGGAAACGTAGCAGATTGTGGCATCATAAGGATTCCTTTACTATTTTGAGAGAGAAAACTGTAAGAAACCTATTTCTCATGTTTATGTGTTTATTTTGGTGCATAAGTGTTTGTCACTTGAAATAACTTGTGTTTCTCTCTTCTTCGCATATTAGGGCTCAGAAACAATTGAAGGCCTTGTGCTTGACTTGCATGCATTTAAGGCGGCTAAATCTGTCAACACTTCCAAGAACATGACAAATCATCACCGGAGGACCAAGGAAATCCACTTCAACAATATCATTTTGGCTTCCCTTTCTTGCACCAGATAGACACTGCTTCAAAAAATTCAAATGAGATAATCCTGGAAATTAGAGCATTTGTAAGGATGCACAAACTAAGACTACTTCGGCTTAGTTATGAACAACTCTCTGGAAGTTACGAAGAATTTCCTAAAAAACTAAAATGGTTGTGTTGGAGTGGGTTCCCTTTAGAATCTATTCCAATTGATTTTCCGGTGGAGAGCCTGGTTTCTCTTGACATGCGCTATAGCAACATGAAACAAGTTTGGAATAGAACCAAGGTCTGGTGCATTTTTTTCGCTTTCCTTCTTTTGTCATTTGGCAATTAACTATATACATGTGTAATGTAAGAACTAAATTTCCACCTTTCTCTTTTTCTTTTTACAGTTTCTTGGATTATTAAAAATTCTCAATCTCAGTCATTCTCATAATCTTGTCAAAACTCCTGATTTCTCAGTACTCCCTAATCTGGAGAGATTGATTCTTAAAGATTGTATAAGCTTGGTTGAGGTTCAAGAATCAATAGGGAACTAAGAGAGACTTGTTTTCTTAAATCTAAAAGATTGCAAAAATCTTAGGAATCTTCCTCAAAGCGTTATTAAGCTAAAATCTCTTGAGACACTTATTATTTCTGGTTGCTCAAAACTTAATGAGTTGCCAACGGAGTTGAAGAAATTAGAATCTTTGAAAGTATTTGCTGCTGATGGAATTGCAATAAATAAACTTCTTGCTACCACTAGGGAGCTCAAATCATGGCAAGCATCTTTTTGGTATTTGGTATCAATGCCAAGGAAAAGTTCAGAAATTTCATGGGCTTCTTTACCCCACTCTTTAGCGAGCTTAAGCCTAGCGGACTGCAATCTGTCAGATGATGCCTTTCCCAGAGACTTTAGTGGCTTGTCCTCGTTGAAGAACGTAAATCTAAGCAAAAATCCAATTCATAGGCTACCAGATTGCATCAGAGGTCTTACTGGTCTCCAAACGCTTCAGTTAGAATCCTGTACGAGACTCAAATGGCTTGTAGGGCTACCAAGTGTAAAAAAGTTGATTGTTTCAGAATGTACATCATTGGAAAAAATAACATTTCAATCCCTGTTACCAAATTCGGAGGTTTCATTAAGACAGTGCTACAACTTAGTTGAGTTTCAATCCTCCTTTAAGATAGAACCTATTGAAGAAGTTGATAGGGAAATGATCAACATTTTGGGCTTCCCTGACTTGGCATCCATGGAAAACATTAAGATGGAATTTGCAAATGGAACATTAGGACTATTCCACACAAAGACATGCCCCATCATGGTACTCACTCTCTCTCTCTCTCTCTCTCCCACCTTCCCTTGTGCAAGAGTTGAATGTTATGATTTCTATGGCACAGGCACTGCATGAATTTGGTCTATTCAACACATTTTGTCCTGGAAAAGAGGTTCCAAGCTGGTTCAACCATAGAAATATGGGATCCTCAGTATCTTTCATCGTGCCTTCACTTCCTTATCTCACGGTCCGAGGTGTGAATGTCTGCACTGTGTAGGCATTTTCTGATGATGAGAGAGACAAATTACCTCATCCATTATTTGCTAAAATCTTTAACAAGAGCAGGTGTTTGAAGTGGATTTACGGACCATCATGCTTACCGGTTCCAGAAGACGATGGACATATGATATAGTTAAGCCATTGGAAACTTGGGAATCAGTCGGATGGTGGTGATGAAGTGAGTGTTTCAATATTTATGGATGTTGGTTTTGAGGTAAAGGAGTGCGGTATCAACCTTGTGTATGATCAAGAGGAGAGAGTGGGTACACAAGAAAACGCATCCAATCTTTCTCCTGAAGATGTTATTGATGGAGATTTATCGAGATATGAGGTGATGACAGGAACATACTTCCTGTGTGAAGTAATTTCAAGGAGTTATGACTGGAGTAGCTCAGATTGGTTTGAAAAATTAATTGAGGACTCAAACAAAACTACAGGTATGTGACGTGTGGCTTCCTTGTGTTATATGTCGAATTATGTGACTAGTTTCTATGTTCTTATAATTAATCTACAAAAATATCTCTCTTTTTGGTGATTCTTATGGTTTGCAGAAAATGAAGAAGAGCGCAGGGCTGGTCAGCTGACAGTGGCAGCAGGAGAGTTTGGCAGTGATGATGATGATGCTGGCCATTGTAGATGCCAGAAGCTAAGAATTCGTGTTGCGGTCTTTCTTCTCTCTCTTTCATCTCTTGTTCTTCTCTCTGTAGGAATCAAGCGACACGCCACAAAGAGAGAAAAGAAAAATGGAGACAGCTAATTGCTAAAGCTTAGTTTGCATAGGCATTGAAGAAGATAAGAGATTTTGGGATGATGAGGCAATCTGGATAGAGAGATTATTTCCAAATTTCTATACAGGAATAACGAAGAGAGGTGTTTTGAGGATGTTGCGGTCCTTGGGATAGTTCTAAACTTTGTCGTATATATTTTCTTTTGATATTAAATAACAAACAGAGAAAAGGGTCAAATTTTGATCATTTATAAAGATAAAATTTAAGGTGGTTTGTGTTTTGAAAAGCTCATGTTTATTTATTTCTGTGAGAAAAATTGAATATTATTAATGTTATAATGGGATTACAGTCACAAATAATCTCAGTTGACAAGGCACCATACATACAGATGGACAAATGGAACAAAGAAGAATTATAAAGGTAAAGCCCCTATTTCACAACGAATACATCATGCATCATCATCCACTACTAGCAAAAACAGACAAGCTTCACTATTTAATCAAACAAAAACCCCACCCTTATATCTTCAAACTTTGTTAGGTCCTTGAGTCTTGTCAATCCCGCGAACAAACTTGTGTGATTGAGTTGTAAATTTCCTTCTTGTTTTGTCTTGCTCGCTCGAGCGAAGGAGTTCTCGCTCGAGCGAAGACTGCGTCTGGCAAAAACCTGAAAGAGATGAATGTGCGCTCGAGCGAAGAAGTGCGTCTGCATAATAACCTGAAAGAGTTGATTGTACGCTCGAGCGCAGGTTGTGTGGCTCGAACGAAGCCACTTATGGAAATCACGCGAGATAAGTTCCTCGCTCGAGCGAGCTTCACAGTCCAGGATTTCTATAAGTATTTGTTTTACTCCAAAACTAGGATTAGGTTTTTAAGATCTACTTTAAGGTTTTCTTGGAGAGTAGTTTTCTAGTTTTTCCTTGATAATTTGAGTGAGTATTAAACTCATGAATTGATAAGCACATATCAAGGAGGTTGTTTGATTATATTCAAGTGTGTTTTTCTTCGGTGGATTCCGGAGATTCAAATGTGGAGTTTTAAAGGAGTTTGATTCTGTACGTAGTCGTTGATTCGACAAGTGAAGTTGTGGATTCAACTTCAGATTAATCAGTTCCGAGACGAAGGCTTGGTGAAAGAGTTACAGAAGGTTTGAAGACAAATTGGATAAGTTGGGTAATTTGTTTGTTATTTTTGTAATCTTTCTTTCTTCAGTAGTGGATTGATTAGTGGCGTTTCGCCCGCGGTTTTTTATTACAATTGAAGGTTCTTCAATTGTTGTTTTTCCACGTAAAAATCGTTTGTGTCGATTTATTGTTTATTCCGAAAACAACAATCTAAATCACTTTCGTAAGTGCTTGATGATTTAGATTGTGTGTTTTGAATAATTAGGAATTGAAATATTTTAATCATGATCTAATCACGAATCACTTAGGATTTTCAAACTTCTTACCCCTTTAATAATGAACCAGAAATCATTTATAATTATAATTTTCATGTTTAAGAGTTATGTAACTGACATTCTGTGAATTAGATAAAACCACCATAGAATCATGACTTCTTTTCAAGTTTTGTACACTAAAGAAATACAGGTAAACAAAACACACCACTAAACATTAAATCTAAGCAAAATTTGCATACAAAACATAAAGTATTAGTTGTTTATTCTTTCTTAGTCACTCTTTAAATTTCCGCCAAATCATATATTTTAAGAACAATAGCGGATTTTCGATCTTGCGACTTGTGTAATATTGTCACCATTTAATTTAGATTTTTGTGGCAAAATTATATTATTCTAATCAAATTAATCCCAATACGAATTTCTCTCTAAATTGACTTAGCTTATGGAAGTTAATTGGTTGACCAAGACTTAGTAAAGATGTTCAAATGTGAACAATGTAATCCCATTCTTTAGATGAGCAAAAGTCTTGGAGACTTTAGGTCAAGTCTTAATTGAGCCAAAGTAAGGAAACATGACTCAAAGTCGCCGTGGTTTTGTTGCCGTGTTTGGCATAATAAAAACTAATGTGTGCGCTATGGTTAGCAGCACGCTACGTAGTTTTGGTTGGCGAGTTTTGGAGTTATGAAATTAGTAAGCCCTCAATAGATCTGTATATGATCTTGACTATTGAGCTGCGTGGATTGACTTTGTAATTTGACTTGTAAATAATGTTACATCATTGAATGAAGTAACATTCATGAGTCACGTCATTCAAGAAATGCGAGCTTAAATAAATTAGTCATTAAGTGTAAGACGAGTAGCCAGTTTGAGCAGTGTTTTGCTCTCTACCCAATTATTGGGAGTGGATGGAGCAAAAATTTCATGCACTATAATAGTGTGCGTTGAAATATCACGTGAAGTTAAAAGATTAGCGCTTAGAAGCTGCAAAATCTATTAACACTAAGTGAAAAGATTAGCGCTTAGAAGCTGCAAAATCTATTAGCATTGCCAACTTGTCTAAGTCTGAACATTTATTGTTTCCACACTTGAGTGTGAGACATGAGGAGAGGCTTCTTTGTATGATTCCTTAGCTAGGCTAACGTTTTTTTTTTTGAATAACGTTTAGCACTAAGCGCAAACGTTGCGGCATAAGATCAAGGCTGACAAGGTTGTTATGACTCTAAGAATTTGACGCATCGCTTGTAAGAGCATTGTGTTGAATTAGACTCTTTGGCCTAATTCGCGCTTAAGTTACTTCAGGAGCTGTCATAGTTGATAGCTTATTCTCTCCTTCTTGTGGATAGTAGAATTAATTGCAAGTAACTATGAAGCGAGAAACAGAGATGGCAAGAGGAGTATTGTCATCTTTCAACCAGATGCAGTAAAGTGTATGGAGAATAAAATTGACTTGAAGGTGCAGGGGATTAGCACTTACTAGTTAAATTTGCGACTTAGGCGCACTTGATATCTCCATGACATCCCTTTTATGATCTAGTGAATATGACTTAGTCGTGAGTCATTACCTAGTTGGGCCTAAACCTTTAAAACTTGTCTTCAAGAACTCACACATTAAGATGATTGGAATTAGTTTATGACATTGGTCATGAACCAGTGGCTTATTATACTTAATCACATTAATGAGATGATGACACGATGGTTTGAGTAGGCCTTCTCGGGCCCACTCGCTTATGACATCCTGCTCTCATATGAATGTGTAACTTTGTTCGCAATGGGTGCGCACGAGTAAGTAGGAAAGCCGTGGAAGGTCATTTGTATTGGCGCATTTAGTCTACTATGATATTTGTGACTAGATATGTGTGAGGGTATGATAGCTAAGCCTCAATCTCGACACATTTATAGATTACGATATGCATCTGAGTCAAGACTATTTGATCTCCCATAAGTCAAAAATTTTGAGATGATTTTTGACATTGCACATATGAGGTCGAGATCAATTAGATAAGAGCTTTTGTGCTTTTAGTTTTGACCAAGGTGGCAAGTATCTATTTGAGTTATTTTTAGAAAGCTCTGTGAAGAGAGATGGATGCTTAGAAAATTGATTATTCCTAGTACTCAACAACACAATGGTGTAGTAGAGATAAGGAATTAAATATTGTTAATGTTAGGTGGATAATGGCGCAAAACGTTTCCCAATTGGAAATTGCACTAGTTTGTTGCCTATATCCCTAACTAAGTGCCCTCCATATCAGATTTTACACTCTATTTTGAGTAATAGGTTAGCGAAGAGCCATCAATGGGCGATCTGTAACCGTTAAGCAGCTTATCTTTATTTTACTTCTCATAAGATTGCGAAGTTAAGACCTAGGGTTCTATAGCGCATTATTGTATGCTGTCTTGTAAACACAAAGGGTCGTGTGGCGCATTATTGTATGCGGTCATGTAAACCCTCCAGGTCATGTGCATATAGGTAAGCAGTTTTGTGGGAGTGTAACTAAGTCACATAAAGTTTTCTTAGTAAAGGTGACGTGAATAGAGTTTTGGAACTCTATAAGATAGAGAATTCTAAACATAGCACTTTATGTAGCCTAGTTGAGAATAGAAAGAAATTTCCAATATTCTAGGGATAGTGGGAGCGATGTGCCTACTAATGGATTACTCCATTAGAGAAGAATACTCTACATTCTTAGTTGCGTGGTAGCGAATGTGAAAATTTTCCACGTCATCACTGGGTGATTGAGAGGGAAACATTCATGATTGCTTCGCAAGATGATAAAATGTCTAGGATAATGCCTAAGGCTCTAGTCCCCTATTTTTAGAAAGTGGATCAATGTTGCGTAATTTAAGACAAAGTCTTTGAGGATTAACCATTTTTATAATTTGGTTGACTTTCCATTATGACGCAAAACTGTTATAAAGTTATGCGTAATTTGGATAGTCATTGTTGAGGCATAAGGCTCGCTAGATACCGAAAAGTCGCACCATTGAGGAAAGTGTAGACCATGAGAAGACTTCCTCCTGGGGAGTGAGGTTATTTTGACTTAGGCTATGATTGACATAAGTTCAGAACATTGATTTGTGGACATTGTGACCCGATTTCTCATTAGAGAATTGGATATATAGATCCGTAGGGATTTACCTTCTGCTTTTATGGTGAAAAGTTAGGAGCGCAAAAAGGTTGTTAGTTCCAATAAATCTTTTATAGCCTAAAGCAGTTATCCAAACAGTAGTTCTTAGATTTCGTCAAGCCATGATAGGCCAACGATGATCGATGAAGACCACTGAGGCATGATCAATGGTCCAAAAGAAGTTTTTCCTTACTTAGTCATTATGAGCCAGGAATTTATAAGGTTGCCGCCACCTAGGGTGGGCAGTCCTCTATTTTAGATATGATGCATATGTATATAATTTACTTAGTTTTATGTTTTTTTAAACAAAAATATGCACTTAAGATGGAAAAATATTTAACTAAAAATATAAACATAAGATGTAATGGTTAAATATTAATTTTTTTTTTTTTTTTTTTGTGGTTAAATTAACTACAAAGTTATTTTTAGAAATATGATTTTTATAGACTTATTTTAGGCCAACTTTGAATCCAAATTTGAGTGGGTCCCAAACATCTTTTGGGGTGGGTTCAAAGAGGTGTCGTGTTCCTTGCCGCATGGTAAGTCACACGGTAAAGATGGTTTGTTAAAATCATTTATGAGTGAATGGGAAGTTGACGTCGTTTTTCGAGTTCCTGGAATGGACAATTAAAGAGTCAATAGTGGGTTTTCTTGAAATGTTAGTCCCACATTGAAACTTGAAGAGAACTTATGTGTGTATATAAGTTCTAGGTGGCAACACTTGGGTTGAGTCCCAATGGACACCCCAAGTTTGTAGA